TGCCAGAGGTTTAGCTCGTCAGTGCAGGTTTCAAATTGCTTTCCTCATGCACATGTTCAGCAGGACCTGATGGCTTGAACTCTCCTCGGTTTGATTTTGGTGAATTGTGTGTTTTATCATCAGCTACTTGATGATTTTTCTTCTGATGACCAGTTTGGGATTAGTCCCATAAAATGATGTAAAGAGGGAATATTTGTACACTCTAAAGCATATAAAGGATGAAGATGCCTTGGTGGAGTGAGGCCCGTGTTTCCATTCAGAATTGCGAGCATATATTAAATGCTTTATTGCTTAGATGAATGCCATATTTAAGACTGAAACATGGTTCTTGTGGTTTGAAGGTGCATTTGCTTACATGGTGCTGTTTCATATTGTAACCTACAAGAACCCAGAGAAAGGAGCATCATGCACTAGAAAGAGGATGGAAGCATCTCCATGGTGCTGGTAGAGATGTAGCTCCTGACCAAGACTTTTGCCTAAGCCAGGCAACAGGGGAAGCAATCACTGGTCTGTGTACTGAGCTGGCCATCCAAGCCAAGATGAAGGACTAAACATGAAGTCTGTTTATTCTCTGCTTCAGAAAAATGCATGAGAGTGGAGTCAATGCCTGGAGAGTGAAGAGGGCACTGAAAACTTATTATTTTTGTGATCCTGAACAAAACAAGACTGTGTGCATTTAAGTGGGTTTGTGTGGTTTTGACTTACCAGATAAAGGGGATAGCTAACTTCCCCAAGCTTGCCACTGGTGGTCTTGCAGTTTTGGTATACTAGAGAGGTTTTAAGCAGAGAAAAAGCCAACCCTAAGGAAGTGCCTTTAAAGAGCAAGGTGGTCAGAGTACCCCAAGAAAGGCTAAACCAACCACATACGCAATACAAAATGCTCAAGTACAAGTGAAACTAATCTAGGAGGCAAGTGGGGATGGTGGGATCCTGATCTTGGCATTCAACAATAAAACCAGCACAAAGGGTAGGCAAGACCCCACAGAGTGTGGGTTTTGCTTACCCAGACAATGCTGTTTCGTTTCAAATGCCAGGAGAGCTCCCCATGGCAGGTAGCACAGAGCACCAGGGTATCTTCCACTGCCACAAAACTCCAGCACCACTGGTACACAGTCACTGTGGGCTGGTGAGGTGTCACCAAGTACAGTGGCCACCACATAGGATGGCAAACTGGAGAGAGCTAGCAGTGCTCCACAGAGCCCCCCCGCAGAGACCTCTCTGGGGAACATCCACAGGGCTCCTGGGGGCAAATCCCTTGGGAAGTTCTAAGGGGATCTTGCATTTGTGAAGTATTGCAAGTCGCTGAATCTATTCAGTGTCTGGTTTCCCTTCTCTTTAATGAAGGGAAAAGTGTGTGTTATTTTGGCATGTTCTTGTCACATATTTGTGATAGATATAATCTGAATCTTAAAAGATGAGCATGAAAGGAAGGGGGATTAGAATTAATTCTGGGTTCTGCTTCTGCTAGTGGCTTTCTAGGTGACCAAAAATGAATAATTCCATATGCAATTTCCATAGAAATAAGGAGGAGAATTCAGACCCTCATCACTCAGAATGAATGTGGGAATAACGCTTTCCTTCCACACTATTTAGCTTAGTCATGCCTCAGGGCAGAGAGGAACCATCTCACAGAACATGTTTGTCAAGGGTACTCTGATGTGTTTTTATAGTGTCCTGGATGTGGTCTGGAGGCTGCAGAATATGCAGCAATAAAAATAAGCCTTTATTAATAATAAAAAGGGGTTCTGCTGCAACTAAAGCATACATTAAAGATTAAGCTGGCATTAGCACAGGGGGAGTGTCTGTGTGTGATCCATGTAGACCCCCTCCCTAGAAATACATGTTATTTATTCCTAACCTTTCCCCCAAAGGTTTCCCAAAGGTTTGTTTTGTTGCCTTGTGATAAAACCTCAAGGTCATGGAAGGGATGCTTTTAGTGCTGCTCTTACAACAGGGATTGTGAAGTTTTATGTCTTAGTGAGGTGCTGCTAGTGGAAAGGCTGATAAAGTTTAATTTCTATTTCATTGCACATTGGCTGTGACAACACTATTGACAAGCTTGCTAATGTGTTGAAGAGAGCTGATGTCATGATAGCCATAGAGTTGAGATACAAGCAGAAGACCACTTGCCAAAAAATGCAGTGAAATCTGAAGAGTGCAGCAGTCTGATTGTGTGTCACACATGTTTCCGTGCTTTGAGCACAGAAGGGCCTGATCCTGGGGAAAACGGAAGGAGTGTGATGGAGCTGATGGCTGTATCAGAGGCACCCAGGGAGCTGTTTAAAGGTATAACAGGGGCAGCCAGGGAAAACAGTCATGGAAAGCAAGAGAAAATAAGATTTCAGGCTGGCTGTGTGCTGGGAGGTGCGCAGCTTGAGGAGGATGGAAGTGAGCTGCTGGTCCTGAACTTTGAGACAGGGATGAGTGACTTCCATGAACTGCTTTAGCACAGTGCAAGTGCTGGGAGCTGCTCGGGGTGCATTCCCAGAAGAGAAACTCCAGGAAACTGCAAGTATAGACCCCATGACTGTCTAACCGCAGACAACTGCCTGGGGGAGGGAGTGTTTGTGTCCTTCCCCCTTTTTTTATATGCTTTTTTTTCCTCTTCATTCAGTAATGTATGGAAAGCAATTGAACTTGCTTGTAAAGAAGCATAGGACTTGGAGATGCAGGACTGAGGTTGTTCAGTCTGGAGCCTGGAGAAGGCTGTAGGGACAGGGCAATGGGGAATGGCTTTAACCTGACAGAGGGGGAACTGAGATGAGCTCTTAGGCAGAAATTCATCCCTGTGAGGGTGCTGAGGCCCTGGCACAGGGTGCCCAGAGAAGCTGTGGCTGCCCCATCCCTGGCAGTGTTCAAGGCCAGGTTGGGCAGGGCTTGGAGCAACTTGGTCTAGTGGAAGGTGTCCCTGCCCGTGGCAGGGGTTGGAACTGGATGAGATTTAAGGTCCCTTCCAACCCAAACCAGTGTAGGATACGATTCTGTGCTGTGACCTCAATTTTACAAGCTGTGATAGATGATTCACTGGGAGAATGTGTGGTGTCCAGTCTTGCTTCTAGTGGTAGCAGTATCACTTCAGCTTTCTGGACCAGGTTAAACCTCAGTATTTGGGATATACTGCACTAGTGGTAAGTTCTTTCCCAACAAACTTGAATTCTGTTAGGTTTCAACTATCTGTTTTTAATGGCCAAGAGGCTACCTGAGAAGAATTTTGTAGCTCATTGGTACCATTTGACAAATCACAGTGTTTGGGTTTTCTGTTAAGAGGAAAAAAAAAATCTCTTATAAAATAGAGGTCTTTCAGATGATTCTGGCGCTTATATAATCTCTTCTCTTGCTGCTCTTCAGCACAGCCTTGTGAACATCATTAGTTCTTTGCACTTTTTCCTTTAATTCACTCCTCACTGCATGCACCTTATTGTGCATTAGAAGCAAACTGAAACATTAATTAATTTGAGCCGTTTCACAGAGCCGAAGGAACCCATTTAACTGTCTTATCACTTGGAATTCAGAGGCCAAGCACATAGAGCATGCTTGCTGCCTTCATGTGAGAGCAGCCTCTGGCCAAATTCTTCACCTGGAGGGAAGCTGAAGACTTGGAGAGTCTTGACTGGCCTCTGCAGTTTAATACCTACATTTCCCATCTAGAAGTGCAGAAGACTTCCTACACATCCCGTACTGTGTATGCATTCACATCTATGTCTTTGGATTCTATTTGCAGTCCTTTAACACATTTTATAGCTCACATGGATACGCTGGTTTTAAAAAACCACCCACATAAATTATCTTTTATTATCATTTCTTTATTCAGTGCTGAGTATCTTCTTACAAGCATTATTATGGACTAGCAAAGAGTTCCTGCTGTTCCTTACAAGGCCCGTTTCTAATGCTGTCTGCATTATGGGTAAAGTCCTTGCTTCAGTCAGGAAAGCATCCTGTTGCAGGTATCAGCTCCTGTGCCAAATGCCAGGTTATAAGCAGTCAATGCAGTATGGGAAGCAGAATGTAATACGATTTTCAAAGGGTAAGCAAGGCAAAATTAACACCCTGTCATCTGGCACCTTAAGCTGGAAAACAGGCTTTGCCATCAGGAATTAGCACTGCAAAAACCTAAGAACGAGGAGGGGAGACTTGAAAGACATCCAGATAAATCACAGGAAACCAATTCTTCTGTCTCCTCCTGTTCCATACCGGAACAACCCGGTAACCATGTGCATGTTTAATGCTTCACAGGTGGTAACCAACTTTGTTAGGTGGAGCAGGGTAGGGCGGCAGCAGTGTTGCTACTTGTGCAGCTGGGGCTTGATTTGATTTACTCTGATTTACACTAGTGTAATGGAGCATGAACACAAGGCACCTGATCTCCAGGTTTCTAGTACAAGCCTGAAGAGGTAAGCTGTCTGTGTATGAGAGCTGAAGCTGTGCAGCTGGAGGTTGTGTGCTTTACGTTTTTTTGCAGGAGGTTTGTTAGCAATTGCCATTATTAAGATCTCTGTCTTGAAGACAGGGGACCATGACTGTATTAGTCTCTAGCATTTGGTGGGTGGAGAAAGGCTCTGGCTGCCTGCATTATGTGAGCTTATGAAGCTTTTACTGTCATCTATAGGTTAAGTCATTAGTGAAAAGAAATTTACTACAAGACAGATAAAACTGTATAGACAAGTTTCCTGGAATGCTTCACTAAACCAGAAAGAAACCAGCCATTTCCACTGCATTGGGTATCTTTATTTATGCCTGGGGCAGATGTTAATGAAAGAGGGAAGATTTGGATTAGATATTGGGAAGAAGCTCTTCCCTGTGAGGGTGCTGAGGCGCTGGCACAGGGTGCCCAGAGAAGCTGTGGCTGCCCCATCCCTGGCAGTGTTCAAGGCCAGGCTGGACAGGGCTTGGAACAACCTGGGCTAGTGGAAGGTGTCCCTGCCCGTGGCAGGGGCTTGGAGCTCGATGAACTTTAAAGGTTCCTTCCAACCCAAACCGTTCTATCATATAGTATGTTCTAGGCTGCCAGGCCTGAACCTCTTGGAGGGGATGGGAAGTGTCCTTCTGCATCTTGCATTGCACCCTGGGTCTGCTGCGCATTAGAGATTGCCCAGGTCTGAAGATAGACACACTCCAGCTCGCTTGGCTTTCACCCTTCACTCCTTCTTCAGAGCAGTGAAACCATTTGAGAGGCTTGGAACATGAAAGCAGGAAGCATAGTGCTTGGTCTTTAAGGGATTAGCTTTTCCCCTTGGAACCTTGCAAATTCATACCATAACTGGGTAGAGGATCTAGTCAGAGATCTCTAGTGAGATCTAGTGAGAGACCTCTTGAAAACATTGTGTTAAATCTCCAAGATCGGCAGCGTACGTTGTACTGAAGGTTGCAACTGAGAGTAAGAAAAAGACGTTTGCATTGCAGCATGACTTTTTGGAAGTGTACATCTCCAAGAGCAGGCTTATGATTACACATATGTATTTGCAGTTATAGCAATGGGACATCAGCATGAAGTTCCAAAGAGGTCCCATGGTTTTAGGTGTCCTGCAGCTTTGGTTTGACCCTTTGCCTGGTGGTGTGGGCCAAAGAAACAGGATGAGTGCTGCAGTGTGGGTTTGCCATTGCAGAGCAAAGCAATCTTGTTATACTGCTGCAGTCACCCACCACAATGGGAGGAGAAGCCAGCCCATCATCCATTTTTTCAGGTGCTCTAGAATAGATGTGTGAGTAGGTTCAGTTTCTTCATAGCTGTCTGTTATTTGAGAAATAACATGTATTAAAATGGTGATAGTTTTTGTGTTGCATCCACCTGACTGGCAGCTGATCACAGAAGAATTGCAGCAGCTTCTCACAGAGACAAGGGATGGGTAGTCATGACAGTGAGAAGATCCATATAAGGGTGTTTTGCAATGTATCAGACAGGTGTTGGATTTGTTTTGCAGCCTCATGAGAAGTTTTGCCTGAAGCTCTGTGAGTTCAGTGCGCGATGGACACCCAGCAGTTTAATTGGAGCTGGATGAAACACGCTTCCTGCAGGGCTGAGGGTGCTGCTTCTGCTGAGATCCAGTTATTACACAAAGCGAAAGCTTGTGTGTATTCTCTGCAATATAGAACTGGGAAGAATTCTGTCAAAGTTTTTCCCCTTCCTCCCACCCTTTCAGTATCCGTAAGTCTGTGTGTGCCAGCTGGCTTGGCAGGGACAAGAACATGCTGAGAAAAGAGCTCAGCACAGTTGGTAAGCTTTGCATGTAGAGGTTAATCTAACAGCAGGTATTGCCTTATGTTGTGCAGCATACGCAGAGAGTGAAAGGAGGCTGCCCTTCTCAGAACCCTATGGAATATAACACTTGGAATATAATGTCACCTCTGTCATAATGTCAAAGTGATCCACTGGTCAAAGGAGGGATTTGCTTGGGTTCAGTCAGACCCCAGCGTGTTCAGGCCAGTGCAGAGAATATATTTCCCCATTGCAGTCTCCTTTCTTGTCCTGTGAACTTTGCATCTTTCCTGCTGTGACTCTGTGGAAACAAGACTGTAGTGATAGGACGAGGGGAATGGGTTCAAACTTAAACAGGGGAAATTCAGGTTAGATATAAGGAAGAAGTTCTTTACTGTGAGAGTGGTGAGGCACTGGAATGGGTTGCCCAGAGTACTTGTCACTTTCTCTACCCATGTGCTTGTGTCTAGGTTTGGATGCCCTAGGGCTTTGGAGGTGTTATGAATGAGACTGCTTTGCAGAGGTGAGTTGGGATTGTCAGGATGCTGGGTGATGGTGTTCAAGGCCAGGCTGGATGGAGCCTGGGGCGACATGGTCTAGTGTGAGGTGTCCATGCCCATTGCAGGGGTTTGGAACTTGATGATCTTAAGGTCCTTTCCAACCCAAGCCATTCTATGATGGAAAAAGGCATTTGTAGAGGAAGGTGCTTAGATGCCCCCCAAGAAAGAGGCAGCTGGGTGTTTGATGCACACCCCATGGAGATTTGGGAAACCCTGTGGTTCTTAGAGGAAAGCTTTTCTTGCCATCCTCACAATGATGATACTTACTGGTTCTACTGGCACCCATTATATTTGAGAGCGTGGGGACTATCTTCATGCTTTTCAATCATGGCCTCACCTCAGAGGTGAGTGATACCAACCTGTGGCATTTGAGATTAGCATGTTACCATGCAGAGGTTACATTCTTCAGGTCCCTAACTAGAGAGATGAAGCTTGTAGGAAAGAGACCATTGTAAGCCCAAGGTGAAGCAGGCTTTATTTTATAGTGCATGCAGGAGATGCTGATGCAGGCTGTTGGGTCTGTAGGCAGCACTGAGCACTTACCTTGCTGCCTGCTCACCGTGTTTCTAAGCCACATACTTCTTTTTTGGACCTCAGTATTTTCACTATATAAAGCACCACGGGTCAGGATGTCAAAACCTTTGACTGACCTAAAAGGTGTATGCTGTGCCCAAAACCATGCAAGCTAAACCAGCGTAGCTACCTTAGCTCTCCATTTGACTGATGTAGAACATGAAGCTATGAATAGTAGAGCTCATTTGATGCACTGCAAGTAGAAGGGTAGACAGAACGCACAGGAAACACCCCTGAGAGTCCTGCATTTTTCTTGACTGAATTTGTAGGATCAGGCTATTGGCACATCTGTGAAAAGAGTGATAGATATGAGCTAGGTAGCGAAGCTGTCAGTAATGCATGTTACAAATGAGCTTAAAAAGAGACATCCAAGCTGTCTTGAGCAAAAATACCCAGTGGCTTTGCACAGTATGGCTGTGTGACTGCATGGCCACACTGACTTGTCCTCCATGAAGTGCTTTGGATCCCTGTGGTGTTCTGTCACCTGCGCATGTTATTGTCCCCTATAAAAAGGAAGAAAAGATGAGTGTTGCAAGGCTGCCTTTTCAGTGTCCCAGAGGCTTTAGGGGTAGAGTTAAAGATGTGCTAAGCTTGGATTGAAAGTGGTGTTTTAGCCCTGTGTAAGCCAGTCTGCAACCACAGTGCCCCTGAAAAGGGTGGTCTTGGTCTTTGTGAAACAGCATTACGGGTTCCTAGCATCTCCCTTGGGTTGGAAGGGAAGACTGTGTTGGACTCCAGTTGTGGGTAGACGGGATACTCCCTTTCAGCTGTTCTGCCTTTCCTGAGATTCTCTATTTGAAGATCTGTTCCACTCATTTCACTGGGATTTGAATTGAATCCTTAGTCATGCTGACCTACAAGTGACAAAAGTTGTGTTACGGAAGCAGAAACTGAGACCTGAAAGGAAAGGCTCAAAATCTGAATGCTCCTATTCCTCTTTTCTGCGTTAGTATCTGCTAATGAACATTATCCAGCATCTAGAGGACCCCTGTCAAGGTAGAAAATCCCCAAACCAAAATGGCATAGAACAATTCTATCAATGCTCTTCTTGGAGGGAGATAACAAAGTCAGAATGGCCTTTCAAATTCAGCTCGACTTCCACTTAAACAGAAAAACTTTTCCCACATAAAGAACCTTCAGGGAGTTAGAATCAGCTATGATAAAATATATACCACATCTTACTTTCCTCAAAAAGTCTTATTATGTTCATTCCCATTAACTCCCTCCTCAGGGTATTTTGTATGTCTGCAGAACATATTATGGCCATTTGGTTCTGAATGTTTTTGCAGGACTGTCACTGAATTTAAGTCAGAAAATGGCTAAAACTGTGAACAACATTTCAAAGATTATAACAAGAGTGTCTCAGTAATAAATAAGTCAGCAGATAGAAATGTCTCACTAATTCCCTGTCAGGCCAGGCAAAGCCAGAGCTTGAAAAAGGTAAGACATATTTCATTTGATGTATCCTGATATGGTGCTATGCGAGTGCAGCTCTGCCAATATCTTCACTTTAATTTTGCATTGCAGAACCCTTGTGAAAGTTGTCTCACTGACATTCAGTCATGAATTTGTTTCCAATAGCAGCCCTTTCGCCCTCAGAGGTTTTCCTCAGTTGGAAAACTGACATTAACTCTGCTCTATCTGTCATTTTCCGTGTTATTTACCCTGGAATATCTGTGTGGCGTATCTGTGTATGTTCAGCTTCCTCAGCAGGGTAAGGATTTTAATGAGGTTCATGAGGAAGCAGCATGGTGATTCTAGTACCAAGTTATTGAGGGTTAGGTAAAGCCTCTTCATAGGTTCACAAAGTGGAAGAGTTAAAAGGCTTCATGCTTACTGACTCAGATGGCTTTTATATCTAAATAGGGATCCTTTCATTTTGAAGTTTGTTTCTCTCGCTTTCTCTTGCAAGGCTGAACATTTTATCCATGAATTTCCTACTGGACAAAGGAATGGTGAGCTCCTGTTTCTCAGGAAAAGGAGCTGCTGGGTTCATTATCATCAACTCCATACAAAGTAGTTTGCCAGACGTTCCAAGCATGAGGTCAAGTCCCTCCTGGGTCTTTGCTGCCATCCTCACAGTGGGGAAGAGGAGCTCTTGAAATAATTTCAGGTTTTATTCGTTAGGGTGTATAAAAACGAGACATTTGATTCATCCAAAAGCAAACAGCCAGAGTATATTGTGTCACCCAACAGAGCGCACAGCAGCAGTTGTCCAAAATGAAGGTCACCTGCCACAGTATTCTCTGCCATTGGCAGATATGTGTAGGATAGATATGCAAGACTTTCCACTGACTTTATACTTTTGCATCCTTTTTCTTCTCAGTAGGTCTCTCTCCCAGGTAAGTGTCTCATCTTCTCATGTACCCCTCTAAGCTATTTGCAACAACAACATCCTTTGGCAGGACTTTTCATGCTCGTGAAGAACCTTCTCCTTTACCTCACTTTGAGGCTTGCTTCTTCTAGCTTCATTTTATGGCCTTAATGTTTGTATTAGAAGTGACAGTGCATAACTGATGCCTGCCTGTCTTGCCCATTCTTGATTTACTGACTAATATCGTTCACACACTAAGATGACCTCTTTCTGAACCAAAGGGAACAGAAGGAAATTGTTCCTTGGGTGGAAGCTGTTCCGTAGCTGTGGTCATTGTAGTTGCCTGTTTCTGAATGGTTTTGGTTTTAATACAGCCTTTTTCCCATGAGGGAACAAGAACCACACGCTATATTGAAGGTGTGGAAAAGCCACAGACAGTTTCATACAGTCACATAATCAGGTTTTCTGTGGTGTTCTTGATAATACATATTTTATTTTCTTGTCTTCTATTTGTGCTATTTTGACTCCTACTGATGTTTTA